ACTATGCATTTGGGTCAACCAGGTCTGTCTAGTAGATGGTGGTCAGTTGATAGCTTAGCGCCTCTCTTCTCCCAAGTTTCAAAGACATCAACCGCAGATCTGATGATACGATTCCAAAAAGCTGCTGTGTAGAGAATTCTCGTATCAGGTGCATTTATAAACACCCTTATGGTGAAACATGATATTTGTTATGGATAAATTGTGGCACAAAGCTGCAATAACAAAGCACTGTAGTGATGAACATCAGGCAGGCTGTTCCTTCCAGTTACACCCTTCCAGCTCTCACTGTCATTACCTACAGTATGTCAGTGTTAAAGTCCCCCAGTCAAACAATAGAGTCCCCAGAGGGGGCGCCTTCCAGCTCCCCATCCAAAGTTTCCAAGATGGCCGGACATTCTGAACTATTGTGCAAAACATAGGCACAGACCACAGTCAGAGCCTGTCCCCCGACCCAGAGTTGAAGGGAGGTGACCCTCTTGAACACTGGGGTAAACTCCAATGTAATGGCACCAAACTGGGGGGCTATGAGCAGCCCAACACCTCTCACCCAGGGCAACTCCAAATAAATAACAGTAACTTTAAAGACATTTCATTTTAAATGTTCTCCAAATATTGACATATTGATAGAAGACCCCATTAGCCTGTGAAGCTAATAACCCACCACTGACCTTTAATACAGTGTGTCTCTGCTGAAAATACTCCTACCATCATGTGGATTTCTACTGGTTCTTCTGCTTGTTGTGATGGGAACCTGGAAGCTGTGGCAAATGCGGAGTAAGTATTTCCATCCATATTCTATACTTCTTACCCAGTACAGTGTCATTGAAAGCCTGGAGCAATAAGCCATGCAAACTCCACACACACATTAACACAACAGTCAGGAATGGGAATCACTTCTTCATATGATTATGTTTTTTAGGCTACAATGATGAAATATTGTCTTACCAAGAGACAGTCTATTTATTGATTTTACATCAGCCATATCTTGGGCATTACTTTTTCTATTTAATCAGATACAGATGATGTAGATCCACATAATGGATTTTAATGCAGGCCATTATCCGCCAGAAATTTCAGCCNCTTGGGCATTACTTTTTCTATTTAATCAGATACAGATGATGTAGATCCACATAATGGATTTTAATGCAGGCCATTATCCGCCAGAAATTTCAGCCACAATAGTCTGAATAGACACAGAAATTGGTATGAATTTGTGTACAATGATTCTGTTAACTTTATTACAGAAAGAAGAACAAGAAAAAGCAACAGAGTAAGTTAACATCGCAAAGTGATAAATGGATGTCAACAAATCCATTTTTATTACAATAAACTGCAATAACGTAATTACAATAAATTAGTCAAACCTCCCTTATCCGGGAAGAGTGGGACCGAGGGGTGCCCGAAAGTAAGAAATGCCCGTAACTTACAAATACATGAACAGTACAACGTACATGTACATGTGTACACATACAAACTACATATTTATGAGGTGCAAGGCTTATAATAGGATGCTATTTCAGTCTGAGCTAGCGAATCATCCCGTTTTATTCTTGCAGTGGTCATCCAGTTTTTAACCATCATCAAGTGAGCTGGATGATTTTTTCTTTACTCTTCCAAATTTCGCCTACCGTAGACCACTCCAAAATTATCTGCAACAACTCTGTGTGATTTTCATTTTCGTATCTCTGCAATGATATCAAGCTTCTTTTCGAGGGATATGACACTACGCTTTTTTTTGAAGCCATGGATTTTACACAGTTTAAGCTCCGCTGTAAATTCAGCCCCACCCACAGCCTCGTCCTCTAGCTCGCTCTCCGTTCGACGTTCGCTGCGCCTCCACGTGCAGACTCCGCCCAGTGCCTCGTCCTCTAGCTCGCTCTCCGTTCGAAGTTCGCTGCGCCTCCACGTGCAGACTCCGCCCAGTGCCTCGTCCTCTAGCTCGCTCTCCGTTCGAAGTTCGCTGCGCCTCCACGTGCAGACTCCGCCCAGTGCCTCGTCCTCTAGCTCGCTCTCCGTTCGAAGTTCGCTGCGCCTCCACGTGCAGACTCCGCCCAGTGCCTCGTTCTCTAGCTCGCTCTCCGTTCGATGTTCGCTCCGCCTCCACGTGCACACTCCGCCCACATCTCTCTGTTTGCGGCATTCCTCACTTCCGTCTTCCGAACAGTTTTTACTGTAAATCCATTGTATTTACAATATACAATAATATAGTTTATAAAATAGTCAGCTATTTTTTATAAGTATAAACTAGTTTTTTTTTTATTTTTACTGCCATCACTTCTGATCTGATATTATACTCACCGTCTTTTTGCTTGCTGTTCAGTTTTACTCATTAGCATTACTAAAGAAGGCTGTCAATGGCAATGGCTGTAACAGTATTGTTTTCTGAACTGTGACTGTATATTTTTGCTAAGATGAATACACACTATGATAGTGAAGTCACATACAGCACTGTTGTCATCAAGGCAAATCACACATCGAAGACTGTAAGTACAATTTCATTTGTCCTTCATATGATTTACAGTATTTGGGGAAATTATGTATCACAGCAGCGTCCTTCTGTTCTGCTCATTACAGTCAAAAAAACGGCAGCTTAATGACTCTGTGAATGAAGTGACCTACAGCTCTTTAGTGATCCAACACAAATAGGTGAGTTAACTAGACCTGCACTGTTCTCTAGGTGTCATGCACTCATGATCACCCTGATGAAACAGTAAGTATAAAGCAGTTTGTCTCTGAAGTTGATGCTGAGATTGACTTGATGACACTGCCAGTTTTAATTTTGAAAGAAACTAAAATATTTCAATAAAATCCTTCCTGTATTCAGTTTATGTATAAAAATAATATCTGTTTTAAGACAGAAAATGATTTTGGTGAGACATCATGGTTTTAACAGTAATGTTAATGTGTTACTTTATTTGTCATTTGTGTTACTTCATCCGTGTCCTTCAGGTGACCTTTAACCCCCTATCTGTTCATAGCAGATATGACTGAAAAGAAGAAAATACAGAGAGATCATGATTCACCAGGAAGGAACTTTATTTTGTCACCAATTCACCAAGAATCAACTTCCCCTTATATATTTCTTGATATCAACATATTACAAAGTTGATTATACATGTTCACTATACACATGTCTATTTAGTTAAATCTCAAAAACCTTTATATTCCCTCATTCGTCTTAATTTTAGCTTAATCTCTTACATTTCATTGTGAGTACAGAAGGTAGAACTGTGGTTTTGCAGTGCTTTTTTGTAATAAAATGTAGTGGCAATATACAACCAGAACTAGTTGGACAGAAGAACATTTGTATGGATGAAGATCTTCAGAAGAAAAGTAAAGTACTGTTTTGTACTGTTAATTTGTTACAGTGATGTAACAGCATGGTTTATTCTGCATGTTTCTAAGAATTTTCAGTCACATAAACATTTTCAGCTTTACACGATTGTGCATGTAATTTCATTTATTACTTGAATATGCATAGGTATGTTAATTAGTTACTAATTATTATTAATGTAAATGCTTCAAAAAACATTGTTTATGCAATATCCTTTTATGTGTGTCATCAGGATAATCACGTTGGAGACTCCAACAGTAGTCTGCCATCATGTGTATGTCCCATCTGCCTTGATATCTCTCCTCCATCACCTTCATATCCTGGTGGAACCTCTCACCTTGTTCCTTGCTGAAGTCTCCAAGGTTACATGGAAATCTCTTTAAATGGCATCTTTACGCTTTACACAAATTTATGAAGTTAGCAAGCATATTTTGCACCAATTCTTCATAATTGTCTGCTCTGTGATTACCCAAGTAGTTCTTCACAACAGAGATAAAACTCCATGCAATCTCAGTCCTTACAGAGGAAGTTACAAAAAAACTACAGGCATCTGACATCTGTAGAAACTCAGCTGAGCTAGCATTTTCAAATAAATGCCGTTATTTTGAGATCACAAGTTAATAATTTCATTACCTCGAGATAAACCTTGTTTTCTGTGATGATAATATATCTCTATCTCAGAAACACAAAAGGCTGTTGAAGACTGATCTGAATGAATCTGTTATCTCTGACAGAAAGGCACAATGCAATTTTTGCCTATGTTAGATCTCGATTGAAGTACAGTACAATGCTTTGATCAATAATGGGCACTCCTGTCGTTTTAAGGTTAAATGAGTTGCTACAGAAAAACTACTGTCTATGCATGCTGACATGGCACTCCTAATCTGATAAACATTATAAAAGGAAATGAGCTTTTGTTTTCTCGTGATATCAAGTTAATTATTATATAATCATCATAATTGACTCATTATCACAAGAAAACAAGCTTTGTTATCTTGGGATAAGATAAATAAACTCGTGATCTTGCGATAACAATAAAAAATATATATTGCAAGCACGGCTGTTCTTGGCTCCTGTGTACTCCAGATGGCGCTAAAGGCAAATAATAAATGTATGTCACCACAGCCCCTGATAGTTGCAGTCACACTGGCCTTGTGTGCAGCAAGTCGTTTCTTTCTCAAAAGGTCTTCAGATCTGACCACTGTTTTTCTGGGCATTGTGTAGAGCTAACCAGATTTACTACAGCGGAGATGTGTTGCTATTCAACACACTCTTTAAGATTGAACTTATCATTGCACAAAGTAAAAGTCTGACAACAAAATGCAGTTTGGCATCTAATCTGAAAGTGCACAATCTGATTCTCAAAATCTGGACTGGATGTGCACAGAAACGGTTCATCCCCCCCAATAAAGATAACTTTGTATTTAAATGATTAGGATGTGAATCTCTGAATTTGCGAGTAAGATGAAGTCAAGTGAAGCAAATCATTCCGTAATACATAAGAAATCCCAGATTATCGATGGGCTAACCCTGCCTTCCATATGTGAGGCGAATAAATATTTTCTCTTAATTAAATTAAGTTATTCTTGTTCGTAGTAGCCGTCTTTGTCGGGGGGAATCCCCGCTGTCCCTTCCGTCAAAAATGAAAGCGGGATTGCAAGATTCATGAATAACCGTGTGATTTCGTCAGGACTGCTGGGTGTCCCTTACGCTGAAGTCGCTGTCACTATCGAAAATGTGACACCAACCAACAATGTTACTTCCGTTACTACGCATGCGCACGCATTCGGTAAGGGGAGAAATGACGCTTGCGCAGGCGCGCCGAGGTACCCGCGTGACGGGAAGTGAGCGCTTGCTTTCCTTTTAGCCTGGATGGTGAGAAAGATGGTAGGCTGGCAGACGCATGCGCGTGTTGTCGGTGACGCGTAATTGGCTGTAGGCTGAGGGGGAAGATCGCGTGAAGGGACAGTCACTCTCTGAATCTGACTATCCAGCCAGCCGCGGAAGAGATTGCGGAACCCTGCGCGGAACTGATTGATGCCTTTTTGTGACTGGGTCTCATATACTGGCTGCGAAATGATCTGGATGTTCTTTTAGTCGAGGCTAACAACTTAGCATACGTAGTTAACTTAGGAGATGCCTTGATGACAGCCTGTCGTCTCTAACTGAAGTATAAACATGAAAGTGTGGATCCGTCTTGAAGCTGTTACCCAGCTATCTGTGTAGTCATAGCTGCAGTTCTCAGTTCCCGATTTTCAGTCAGTGCCGGGGGTGAAGGTCTTTACGTGAATTTATGTCGCCATGGAGAACACGGGCTGTGTTAATATTTGTAGCCTGACCAGCACCCTGCCGGTAATCCCCTACCAGAAGCTGACGGACCTGCACTACCTGAGCAGAGGCGGCTTCGGGACCGTCTTCCGGGCGCAGCACTGCGACTGGCGGACGACGGTGGCCATTAAGTGCCTGAAGCTGGACTCACCTGTAGGCGAAAGGTAGGCAGCGACGGATTGATTCTAGTATTATTACTGGTCATGTTGTGGTTGTTGTTGTTGTTGACAACAACAACAACAACGACGACGACGACGATGATGATGATGATGATGACGACACTGAGCGGTCTTGCTCCGAACCTCTTGATTGACACCCACGGAAGTGAGTGTAGTGAGTTTCGATTTAAAACGTACAACTGTCAAATGACACTTACTTGTTTATGGCAACTTGTTAGATCAGAGTATATCTGCATGTGCCGGTGCCGTGTGCTATGTGAATGGAGACGAGTTTTATTCCAAACCCATATAATACCAGCCCAAGACTCTATAGTCACATCTATACGAACTGGTTTCATTTTAGGGTTAACCGCTAAATGATGTGTTTAATGGCTTAAGCTGCTGTTAGGGGGAAAATGAACAGTCATATCAGCCTGCTGTAAGAGGTTTGTAGTTATGCATCTGCCTTTTTGGCTACTCTAAATGAATATTCAATGACAGGGGAATCTGGAAGAAAATTGACGCCACTCTATTTAAAAAAAAAAATTAAATCTGCATTTTAAAATTCTGGTTCTGCTGGCAGAAGGCTACACTGAGCGACAGGCTGCTTCCAGGCTCAAAGTTTCTAATACAGCAGCACACAAGAATAAGGTGAAGTATGAGACACTGGCAATAACCAAAAACCAGCCAGGTAGAGGGCAGATGCAAATTTCTAATGCCAGAGGTGACCGTCAACTTATCCGGCAGTTCCTTGAGAATCAGTGGATGATCTCAGGTGACCTTCAAAAGGAATGGGAAACATTAAGTGGTATGAAGTGCACTGCTAGGACAGTTCGTATCAGGCTCCTAGAGGCAGGACTGTAAACCCATAAAGCAAGGAAGAAGCCCTTCATCAGTGAGAAGCAGGGAAGAGCCAGGCTGCAGTCTGCAAAAAATATGTATTTTACACAGATGCATACCTATAAATTGAGAAATTATTTAAACTGAAAATTTTGCTGTGGTCTCTTAAGTTTTTCCATAGCTGTACTTTCACGCTATACCTGTGTGATTCAAGTTGTATTCAGTCTTGTTAGCTCACCAAGTACCATCCTCTGTTAGGGTATTACACCATATAAATTTAATTTTTCCCCAAGTATGTGATGATGCTGACTATTTATAATCATTGTGTATTATTGTATTGTGCTCTAATTTCAGGGAAGCATGTTTGTTGACTTGTGTAAACTTGTGTAAGTTTAGTTTATGATAAGTCATTCTGATGTTGAACAAGTGTTATTTATGCATGGCAAAAATGTTGTGCTTTTTTGTCCCCATTTTTCCTCAGGGAGAGAAATTGTCTCTTAAAAGAGGCGGAGGTTCTCCACAAGGCCAGGTTCAATCACATCATCCAGATCTTTGGCGTATGCAACGAGCCGGAATTCTTCTGTATCATCACAGAGTACATGAGCAATGGCTCCCTCGATCAACTGCTGCATGAGGTAGGTGTGGAGGGGCTGGGAACTCTGGAATGGGACATGTCTTACACATTCTGAAGACATTTTAGCTGTAGAAGTTCAGAGTGGCCCACAGGTCACATCCGGCCCGCAGCACAATTCTTTACGGCCCATGAAATGATTTTAATGTTGTGTTAAAAAAGACCCAATAATATGTGTATAACGGTACGCAAAATTCACGGTTTGGTACAAACCTCGGTTTCGGGTTCACAGTTCGGTGAAATTTAGGTAAAGCAGGGAAAGCGGAACTTGTTTTCAAAATATTTATTACTAAAAATGCAAACAGAAACCTAATTAGGAAGAATCGTAAACCAAAGGTAATGTGTCTGACATCAACATGCCTGAATAATAAAAGCTAAGGGATGCTTATTATTTGCACATTACAAAGATGAGAATTTAAAATCAACATTGTATAATAAGAATCATAATTAACTAAATCTCGCGTTTTCTACCACTGAGTTTGACCACGTGTCTCCAAAGATAACCACCCGTTGTTATTTTTCAGTCCAGTCTGAATTTCCTAACCATTATACGCCATGGGAGACTAAATTGCAGAAGGCCGTTTCTGCTTTGTTTTGGGTATGCACACAATCTGATGATGTCATCTTAAATAAGTTGTTGGATGTGTTACCAGGAGCATATCTAAGTTCAGTATAGCAGAACCAGTAGACAGTCTTAGTCATATCAACGACTCTCCATTGTTGGTGTAATTTATTGGGAAACCAAAATGTTTCCATACTTCTGATTATGACTGACTAACTAGCATTACCCGTAACCAACTCACGGCGACAATTAGCATAATGTTTTCCGCGTTGTGTATCTTCTTGTGAATGTAAGTTCCGCCCTTGACAAGAAATTTATTCAGGTGTTTTATTGTGTGTTGTGAAACTAAAATAATATAGCCGAACGACCCACAATGAATACGTGTACCGTTACAACCCAACCCCGGAAGTAGGGATCTTCTTGTTCAAACCTGCAATACACGTTCCTTCTTCCCACAGCAGCAACAGTTAGTATAAATTTCAGCAAAACATTCCACTTGCACTCCAGTTGTTTTGATATCTTAGAACTAAACTCGGGGTTTTGTTCATTTAAGAGAGGGATCCAGTGCGTCATGTCTTATAAAAGATAATGAATAATGATTCATCAGCCTAGTGGAGGCATATGATTTAATTCTACATCTTTAGAGAGTTTTTGTATATCATTGTTCAGTTTTATTTAAATAGAGAAATTGCAGGAGTAATGTTTACTACGAAGTTCATATTTGTAACTGTTGATTGCATGTAGCAAATATTTCAATTAACTTCAAAATTTGGATCAGGCCCTTTCAGTTACTATTTGACATCCCTCCTGCTTTAAGACAGTAGTAGTTCTTGGTTAAATATGGTTTTGGAGGTGTTGTGAAAGAAAGGATGTGATTAATACTAATTTGTCTTATTACGTTATACCTCAAATGAAAGATGCATATTTTCCCACTGTGTCACACTATTACTTGTGTTACCTAACAGGATATCTCCAGTTAAAGAGATAAAGCTGATTTTATTATTCTGTTTATTGATGCAACCGCTAAGTGAAAAATGCCATTTTTTATCTGCTTTTAATTTGCAGAAGAACCTATATCCCCACCTGGAATGGTCTCTGCGTTTGCGTGTCTTGTACGAAATCGCTCTGGGGGTCAACTTTCTGCACAACATGAGTCCTCCTCTGCTGCACCATGACCTGAAGACACAGAACATCCTCCTGGATGGGGAGTTTCATGTAAAGGTGTGGTGGACTTTCATGCTGCATTCAATTTATGATCACTTGCCATTACCGTCTACTTATTGGCCTTTTGATGGTGTACAATACATAGTTGCATATCAAGTTTTAAGACTTTTGTGTCTGTGCTAATTTGTATGATGCAGCTACATACAGATGAACCACACAAGTCAACAAAAGGCCTGTGTGACCCCAGAAACTGAACTGCCCAGTTTAAGTTGCCCAAAGGGTCAGCGTGTGGCTCAGTGGGCTAAGTGGGCTATCCTCTGTATATCACAGTGGATTCTCTTATGGAAGCTGGGCCTCATAGCCCAAATTTCAGATCAGATATCCACTGTGTTGGAAGGGTGGAGATGCAATCTGTGGGTGTCCCTTAACTGTTTACAGTTAGATTGTGGTGTTAGTCAGTCACATCTGGGAGTCCTGGGTTGATGGAAGGCTGGTTATGATGCTCCAGTGAGGTGTGATGAGCGGATCCTCTCAGCAGTGAGAGAGCAGGGCGGTTTACGGGTGTGAATCCCAGGTGGACTCCAACAAGCAGTACGCCTATTGCGCTGCACTCTCTTACGTTCATTATAACATTTCCTTGTTTTATACTGAGCAAATAAATGAGATGATTTTTCTTAACAGATAGCAGATTTTGGGCTCTCAAAGTGGCGTCAGCTGTCCATCAGCAAGACTTCCGGCTCCAAGGGGCCAGAGATGGGGGGAACGGTCATTTACATGCCGCCTGAGGAGTACGAGCCTTCCAAGAGCCGGCGTGCTGACGTGAAACACGATATGTACAGGTGAGGCCTTTTACAGCAGCACTGCTTTCCCCGAGTTAGATTTTAATAGGGCTAGGCACATACTTGTTAGGGTAGTATTTTTGAATCAGTCCCAGTGGTGTATGTTTGAATAGTTAAAGGGGCAGTTCACCCCAAAGCCGAAAACAGATATGTTTCAGAGGGGCTTTAGTGCTGTGTATCCATCTTGGTTGTTCTGCTGGGAGTTGCCTAGTTTTGGAGATATTGGGCTTAGAAATGTCGGGCTTCTCTCAAATACGGTGGGAGTGAATGGCATTCTTTCTGTGGTGATTAAAACCGCCAAAAAACACATTTAAAAGTGCACGACTCTACACACCAGTCATCACTGTGCAGACGGTACGAGCACGAACACCCCAGCAATATCTTCGGTCGAAGAAAATAGTTCCTACATTAAACTGCTCACTGTGGATTATCTTGAGTATCTGGATCGTGATTTTTTTATGAGACATTGCTGTTGAATTTTTAAAATGTCTTTTTTTGGCGCTTTAATATCCACAGAAAGAATGCCTTTCAGTGCCATTATATTCAAGAGATGGCCATCATTTCTATGGCTGATATCTACAAAACTAGGCAACTCCCAGCAGAACAGCCTAGATGAATGGAGTGCACTAAACCCCCACTGAAACATATATTTTTTTCAGTTTTGAAGTGAACTGCACCTTTAATTCTATCCCAGCGTGTATCTTGCTTCCAGTGTTTTCTTGGGATAGGCTGGTTATGCCGACTGGTTAATCAGTTATTTAACATATAGGCTTAAAAATCTGAAATTATTCTAACTTGACCCCTTTGAGTTGTCACCCTTTGACTACAAACATTCTTTCTGAGTAGGGTGACCAGATAATCCATGTCAGGGAGGACACTTTGAGCTACTTCAGGTTTTACAAACTACTTTCAAACTGAAAGGCTCCTGTGCTCGGCTAAATAGTTCAGCTCTTCTTGTGCTTTGACTGGTTTGTTTCCTTGACTGAAAGACTCATCCAGCTGTTTCACATTAGCATTAGTGACACATGCATGATTATAGGAGACTGACCAATCAGCACACAGCAAGAACTCCGCGCTCAAGTGAAATTCAGGTCCGTTTCATTGAAATGGTAATTTACAATTCCTGTCCTAGCTCAGAGTGTCCTCCCTGACATGGATTATCTGGTCACCCTATTTCTGAGGCAGAGTGAATTTTCTGTCTTCAGTCTATATTTTAACAGTGCTCCACAGAGGAAGCTAACAGATGTAATTTCCTTAATTACTTAGATTCGTTCAGCTTCCTCTTCCTTTTAATTATTGGGCTCATCCAATGAATTGTTTAAATGCAAACTTTTTCCAGCATTTTGTTACCTGTTAGCTTAATAAAATCTTTTTCAGTAGCTGTGATTTTCAGTGCAGTGACTCACGTAGCCCTCAGCATTTTTACATGTTGAGTAATTGAGGTTCTGGGAAGAGCTGTGCACTTTTTTTTTTCTTGTTTTCCTTATATGCTTATTTGAAGAGGTGAACATTTCCGGGCCAGGAAGTACAAATCCAGACCAAAATTTTGCTCCAACCAACTAGTTAAGTACTCTGTGACTGTGAGTCTTTATGCTCAACTGGTTGGTGAAAACAAAATCTTGGTCAGGACTTTGCGGACCTGATCTTTCCACCTCTGCTCTTTTGTTTATTTTCTTTTTTGTTTGTTTGATTTGATTGATTTTAAGAAGGTGAATGCTTAATCCCCTAGTCGATTACAGGAAATTCTGCGGCGAAGTTGGAAATGCCCATTACCTGACATAAGTCCATTAAATAACTTACAGATGTTAATACGTTTTGTATATTTCAGTTATGCAATCATCATGTGGGAAGTGCTGTCTCGACGGATACCATTTGAAGGTACATGGTTTCCTGTTAAAATACACACACACACACACACACACACACACACAAACTATAAGTATTGGGACACGTACAGGGACTTATGACATCCCATTTTTAATTCTTATATAGAGTTGGTCCCCACTTTGCAGCTGCCTCTCTTTCCACGAAATCATGGAGTGAGTCTTTGGGAATTTTTGCCCATTCATTCAGAAGAGCATTTATGAGGTCAGACACTGAAATTGGACGTGAAAGGACAACCTCGTAGTCTTCGTATTTAATTGAAGTATTTGATGGGGTTGAGGTCAGGGCTCTGTGCAGGCCAGTCAAGGTCTTCCACACCAAACTCACCCAACCAGTCTCTATGGATCTTACTTTGTGCACTGGGGCACAGTCATGCTGGAACAGAAAAGGGCCTTCCCCAAACTGTTCCAACAATCTGGATAACACAGAACTGTCCAAAATGCTAAAGCATTAAGATTTCCCTTCACTGGAACTAAGGGGTCTAGCACAACCCCTGAAAAACAACTGCAAACCATTATCCCTGTTCAACCGAACTTTCCATTTCTCCTGGTTTCTGCCAAACCCAGACTCATCCATCAGACAGCCAGGCAGGGAAACGTGATTCCTCACTCCACAGAACACGTTTGCAGAGAAATTAATTCTTCTTGCTGCTCTTGATATGGTTTCAACCACGATTAATGAAGCAACAACTTGCAGACTTAAACTAAAAAAAAAAAAAACAAGTTTGGGAACCACTGCTCTAGTGACTAGTGTAGATGCCGGACTCACAATAAACCCAACAGCTGGTACAGTTATGTGTTTGCATGTCCTGACAGCTAATGATGTGTATTGTGATTCTTGGGTAGAGGCGGTAAATCCCATGCAGATCATGTTCAGTGTTCTGCGCGGCATCCGTCCAGACACGAGCTTGGACAGCCTACCTGGAGATATCCCAAGCAGAGAGATACTCATCAACCTCATGACTTGTGGCTGGACCTCCAACCCTGACGAGCGTCCATCGTTTCTTAGTGAGTGCCACTTCCCCACCACTGTCCTTTTTGGAACGCCATGCAATCCCAGTTTTTCAGCTAAGCTGAGCTTGCATTTAAGTTTTGTTGCAATATTAATTAAATCTATCCTGTTAGTCAATAATAACAATTCCTTTGGCTGCTTAGACTTATCCTTCATGTCATTCTTCTTACTACTAATCTAATCCTTGTTCTCATCCTAGAAAACAACCTGTTTTGGGACAGAGTGGGCTATGTTTTACAGCTCTGTATCTCCTGGTCAAAGTGGTAGATGGCATAATTCAGACTAGTCCTCTCATTATATATATGAACATTGTCCCCATACCACTGTTTCCTGTCTTCCCTGTAGAATGTCTTATTGAACTTGAGCCCATGCTGCGCAGATTTGATGAGATTGAACTTCTGGAGGCTGTACTAGAGGTGATGAGATCCAAGGTATGAATTTCATGTATCTAGGCACTTGGCTACTGTAGACTCATTGCTCAAAATCAGGATATATATTTTTTTGCACCATTCAGATTGAGGTCACACTAGGCATTATCACATTGAGATTAGAAGAGTCATATTTGGGTACGGGAGAAAGAAACACTAAGAGGTGTTTTGTTTATTGATAGATTCCCAACGGGAGTTTGATCATTTGTAGTAGCAGAAGTTGAAATCAAGAGTACTGTAGGGTACAATGAATGAGTGCTGTAACATTGTCACACTTTTTGCCTGAATCTGGGATATGAGACGCAGGGTATCAGCATTCAAAGGAGTAATGGCTGTTTTCAAATACCCTATTAGGAAACCCTTAAAGGTTGTGTCTCCGTGGTTGATATGGGAAATGATGCCGTTTAAGAATGAAATTGAACTATGATCTTTGACACATTTTGCAGTGACTGAAATGCTTATTTAGTATTCTGCAAACCCACATTTCCTTCCTTCAAGAAATTGTAATTGGCTACATTAGTCTCTGCTGTTGCTCACTTGTTTTTAGCTATTTTCCAACATCTGAATGTTTAAAATTTCATTGTATTCCTTAACACTTTTGAATTTGCCTTTATTTGACACTGGGCCTGTCAGCTTCCCCTTTTCCTTAACTCGTCGTGTTATAAAAATCCTTTGAAGCATTACGTTTTAATGAGAAATCTGATGTCATTTATTGTTGCCTTTGTTGGCAAATTAGGCATCTACACAAATCAGTGTTAAAAGCAGTAATATCAATTGATTTATTGTGCTAATATCTCCCTTATAATCTTATAACAAATGAATGCAACGAAGAGGGATTTTTTTTGGCCTGAACAATGGTAGAAAGCAGCATTGTGTACCCTGACTTGTAATTTAAAGGTTATAATTTAGAGTTCAAGAAAGCATATGCTATAGCATCCTGGAATGCTCCAGGGATATGTCCAGCTGTGGAAATTAAGAAAAAGGCAGAGGAGTAAAGGCAGAGGAGTAAAGGCAGAGGAGTAAAGGCAGAGGAGTAAAGGCAGAGGATGTAAAATCATCAGCTAACTGACTGCATGACTGACACTGTGACCCTGGCTGTTCCCTTTTGAGATGCTGCTGAAGATGGGCAGCCACACCACGACTCCGCTGAAAATTGAGACGAGAGAGAAGCCGCTGGACTCGTTAAAAGATAACAATGCTCCTTGGCAGGTCAGTCGAAGGATGCAGGATTTCATCTGGCTCACGTGTCTTTTTCCAGTTTAATTGGGGTCAGGTGGGGGATGGAGAAAAAAGTTTTGCTCCATCTTGAGCTTCTTCCCCGTGGCTATAAGGACACTCCGCACCCTGCTAGCCTCCTCGCCACCTATCTGTTCCCAGGAATACTCACACCTCCTCTCAACTGGCACTGGTCACTTTAGCTTATTATTTACTTAATTATTGTCAGTCAACTGGCATTATATTTTTTTGCTGCTGCAGTTTTTATTTACTTTCACATTGCACTATGTATATAAACCATTTGTCCTGTGTTTTGTCCTTTAAGCATTGTAAAACCCTCTCCCTATCAATGCTGTGTATGTTGCACCATGGTGCAGGGGGAACACTATTTCATGCCTCTGTATACAGTGGTACCTTGAACCCATGAACAGTCCTGTTCACGAGCAAATCGGGTTACGAACCGGATGTTTGAAAAATTTTTTGTACCGGTTCGCGAACCGTGTTTCAGGCTGCGAACACGCAAACATCTCCCATAAGCGCCCCAAAGAACCACATGAAACATGAAGAAGTGTAGATTATGCCCAAGAATGGTTGTGGAATGTATAAAAAAACTTGTTGTAGATGTATGTCTTTACTATGGCTCTTCAGAGGTCGAATATCTGAAAAAAGAAAAAAATAGAGAAAGACAGAACGTTCTGTTATAGCGGTACCTTTCAGTGATTGATAGACATGTTTGTGATGGTTTTTAACAGTCACAAATCTATACATAAAATTACAGTTCTTCATTAATAACATAAATTAAGTGGCTCCTATTTAAGTGTTATATTCTCCATTCACACATAGTGGCAACTGCATATTGTTTGTTTACAGTGCAAACAAAGAAGTTCATCGTCATAAAACGCGTGGCATCACGAAATGTACATAAAAATTTTAGGCATATGAAAATAAAGTACAGTAAACAAAAATCACATTTTTTAAATTACTGTATTGTTTTTGATTGTTACTCTTTTACTGCTAATTGTTTATTTTTTTGAGGGGATGTTTTGTGGTTCTTTTCCATGTTTTGGCATCTTTCGAGCGACCAGTCCGCCAACAAGCGTATGCTCAGTTGTGTATTGGTCCACCTTCCGTAAATGTATTATTTGAACGAATTATTTGTATTTACATAATTTTAAATGGGAAACCTTGATTCAGGTTGCGAACTTTTCGGGTCCTTGAACGAATTAAGTTCATGAGCTGAGGTACCACTGTACTTGCATATGGGTCGTATGTTAAGGCCCACTGGACTTGGTCGTATGTTAAGGCCCACTGGACTTGGTCGTATGTTAAGGCCCACTGGACTTGGTCGTATGTTAAAGCCCACTGGACTTGGTCGTATGTTAAGGCCCACTGGACTTGAGGTGGTGGGAGCGAATAATACAATCTCAGATTGTTGTGGTCACCTGTTCTCCTTAGATATAAATTCTTTCTTAGATTCAATGGCATTTATACACCTGATTTCCAGCTATTTGGGTAGTGCAGTGTGCAGTGGTTGGCACTGTCACCTTACGCCTCTGGGACCTGGGTTTGAGTCTCCACTGGGATTCCATGTGTGTAGAGTTTGATGTTCTTCCTGTGTTGCCGTGGGGTTTCCCCTGCGTGATCTGGTTTTCCCCCATAGTCTAAAAGCATGCTGAGGCTGATTGGAGTTACCATCCTGGTGCCCCATCCTGGGTTGGTGCCCTGTGATGGGTTGGTGCCCTGTGATGGGTTGGTGCCCCATCCTGGGTTGGTGCCCTGTGATGGGTTGGTGCCCCATCCTGGGTTGGTGCCCCGTGATGGGTTGGTGCCCCGTCCTGGGTTGTTACCTGCCTTGCGCCTGTAGCCTCCAGAATTGACTCCAAGGCCCCCTGTAACCCTGAATAGGACAAGCCATTTCAGAAAATGGATGAATGGATGGATGGAGCTAGAGGCTCTTGTACTTAAATATGCAATAGAAACTTATACTGAACTAAATAAAAAGTAAAAGTAAAACGGACATTCCTCAGTGGCACAAGCAGTGACCCAGAACGAGCTGCACAAACAGGGCAGTCTTGTTCAGCAGGTTTGATGTCAGACGTCCTTCGACTTGAAAATAGCAGCTTAATCAGGAACAATGTGTGGTTTATATAAGCTTTGCCATGCCATCTTTACATGAGAACTTGCAACATAACGGTTTAAAAATACTATGCAGGGCCATATGCTGTGGTATTTTGACAACATTCTGTGTTTGTAACAGATTTGAACTGATTTCCAGTTATGCAAAGTAGCACCTTTCAAAGAAGCGTTGAATGTAATACAGTGCTGATTATTTGCATGTTCTCAGTTTAGCAAGGTTAGTAGCTAACAGAATAGCTCACGTTTTTCATATGTTGTCCCACAGCTCTGTGAAGTGGCTCTTGTGTGTTTATTTATTAATTTTTTTAATTTGGATGCTTGTTGTTGTGGCAGTTTTCAGTTGGTGACCTTGACTCTTAATCCCTTTTTCTGTGTATGTTTAATGCCAGGACACAAGCTCCGCTTCAGGCTCTGGATCTTACTCCTCTCAAGAACCTGACCAGCCACACTTCCTCACCATCAGCGACCCACCCGAAAAAGGCATGACCCTTCCATTTCAGTCCTATTAAATCACACGCTTCTCTTCAGTCTGTCTTTGATAACAAGCAATATGTTAGGCAGACTAGAATATAGTCTCCATACTGTGTAGTGGAAAAATGTTCTCTCTTCCATGTTTTTATATCTGAATTGTCCATCGGCATACTTTGTGCCCCTGTTGCCTCCCACCTGCAGGGATGGGGGTTTGAATCCCACCTTCACTTGGTGTTTGGAGTTTGTATCTATGTGGTGTAGGTTTTCTTTGGGAATTTCAGTTTCTTCCTACAGGTATGCAGTCAGGTTAATCGCTGTTTCGGATTTATGCATAGTATGTATTTTGGCGTGTCCTGCAATGGATGGCATCCCATCCAGGTCTCGTCCCCTAACTTGGGGTCTGTGCTATTTAGAATTCTCTTCAGGCCCCCCATGACCCTGAGTAGGATGGATGGATTGATGGACGGATGGATGGATGGAGGGATGGACCATATCTCCAACCAAACAGATGCTTGATTTTACTGATTTTCTGATATTTTGCTGTCTAGTTATTTTAAGGCAGCAACGATGAAACACAATCTTCAACACTTCAATGCTTAATTTATTTAACAAACAAGATGCTACAGTACCTATTCAGCTGACATTGGAGCTTTCTGTCTAGCATCCTTGCACCCATTGCACTACTTCATATTGTTCTGGATCCATCCTGAACTTTTTTGCACTTCTCAATCAATCAGTCAACCACTCAATCAACCAAACAAACTTTATATACCATATTTCAAACAACTGAAATGCAATTCAAAGTGCTTTACAAGCGAACGACACAACATTATTAAAAAATGAATTTATGAACTGAATTTATGTATAGTAAAAAGGAAAATTAGAACAATGAAATAATCCAGAATTAAATAAAATAGAATAAAATACGTATAAATACTAAAATCGTAAGAATATAAAATGTTACATAAACACCAGACTGCCAGACTAAACAGACAAGTTTTTAGTTAATGTTTTAACAATCGCAATATTTTCAGCACCTTTCATCCTCGGGAAGAGCATGGTAGCTAAAAATAGCTTCACTCAATGTTGTTTTTCTGCCTTAGAACAGCGGAGAAGGGAACAGGAGCATTTGAGGCGCCTTCCGGGTTCATAAGCCATGAGCATTTGAGAGGTAGTCTGGTGCAAGGCCATGTAATGCCTCATAAACTAATAAAAGAATTTTACAATCAAAAGGAAAGCAAACAGGTCAGCAGTGTAAAGATTTTAAGGCCCTGTTTACGCTTTTAAATGCATCTTGGGTGATTGGATCCAAAGTGGACAGCGCTAAGTACCACCGAGACGCAGTATGATCCAATCACTCGAACCTCTGGCCAAGGGGCTCTGGCATGCATTTTGACCACATTTATTTATGCTTAAAATTCCCTTAGGATCCCCCTTAAACAGAACATGAGAAAGATGACATATTGAATGGACTGCAAACCGAAATCTGGTTTTAATAATTAATACGATGATATTTTTTTGTCATAGGGCGTAACACTTGTAATACACCATCAGTACGGTTTTTTACTGGGCTTTTCTCTCTGCCTGCCTCGCTGCTCCTCACAGAGGGCTTTTCTCTCTGCCTGCCTCGCTGCTCCTCACAGAGGGCTTTTCACTATGGTGGCCTTTTTCAAGACGCCATCCAAGTAAAACGGCTAAAATGACGTTGCAATTTCTTGAACAATTAAAAAAATATGTTAAGCATTATAGTGGTTTCCAAGCATCCTATATCTGCAGCCATTGCTAGCAACTGTTTAGGCTTTTTTTTTTTTTAATGAATTATTAATAACTATCCTGCTTAGCGGTCATTTTTGCCACACCATGGTGAATTTATCCAAAGATATGAATTTATCCTAGAGTTTTAAACTACACCTGTTGCTGCAAGGTATTAGGATCCTTGTATTGTATCGTAATATGTGTGAGTAAACTAGAGCAAATATTAAGTTTATTTACTTATAGTCCTATTTTGAATCATTTTTGCTCTAAGCTGTTGAGCCACATTGTGGGGGCTTTTCGCTCAACCTGATCTTGTTTGTCTGATTTGTAGTTGTATTTAGAAATGGTAGTTATGGGCAGGCATGGAGGATGGAGTGAAGAGTCGCTAATGAATGCTACTGCTGCAGTTAAAAATGGGCCATCAGTCAGGTCGGCTGCATCTGCATCCTGGATACAGAGGAAAACACTGGCAGACTATACATACAACAGAGAATTGATGCCAAGCAATGTACCGGTCCGAAAACAATATTCAGTCCTGATGAGGAAGATGAACCTACCCGTATTATTCGATTGCAGAATGTTGGTTTCCCATTAACAAGTGCTGATGTCCAAAGAGCAGCGTACCAGTGTGCTTCAAAAATTGGTGTTTCTGGTAGATTTGGAAAAAATGCAAGGATACGTGAAATTGTTGGCAAGGATTGGTTTCATTTGTTTATGTCCAGGCATCAAGGGCTTTCATTGCGTACATCAGAAACATCGTTATATGGTCGTGGATGTGGACAGAATCGATTCATCATGAACGATTTCTGTGATGATGTTCAAAAAACAGATGCTGACAATAAGTTAGGACCTCAGAGTATTTGCAGTATGGATGAGACTGAGGTCCAGATGACCGCAAGAAAAGAAGCGGTCTTTGCTTGGTGTTCAACAGCAAGTGTTTTTTTGTCATCATTTATTAGAATAGTAGCATGTGGGGTGTTACTACAACCCAAAATCAGAAAAAGTTGGGATGGTATGGAAAATGCAGGAATTGATGTATATTAACAAATGAAATGAAGTTGACCAAACAAAACAAGAAATATCTTGGGTTCATGCTGTTTGCAATGAAATAAAAGTCAAAGTAAATTTCAGAATCACTGTTTTCTTTTCTTTTAATTATTGTTATTATTTTTTATTTGCATTTTCCATACCATCCCAACTTTTTTCTGATTTGGGGTTGTATATGTGTTGCTTCTGTAAACCTTTGTGAATTACTGAAGGAACAAGTCATGAATAACACAAGTTAAATAGCGATGTCATATTTGTTAATCATTAATGAATCATGATGCATCATTCATCCCAGGCAGTTGCATCTGTTAATTTGGTAAATCTTTCTGAACTACTGAAGGAACGAGTAATGAATAAGTGGAATAATGATCTCATGTTTGTTCATCATTAATGAATCGTGACTTATCTTTTATCTCAAGTAGCAACTATATCTGTACATAATTTGTTCATAATTTGTACTTCAGTAGTAACTGAGTTTTTGTGCCCCGTCAAGTAAAGTGTTACTGAAAATTCTGTGATATGTAAGCCTTTATGTCTAAAATATGGTTTAAAAGTGAGTCAGTTGGCCCACTGCCATCAGAAGCGACAGCCACCTAGAGCTGAGTGTCATCATCTTAGGTGTGGAATGAGATACCGTGCCCCCTAATGACACTACCCAAGGGAAACTTATGTAAATTAAAAAATAATGGTTCTAAAATTGATCCTTGTAGAACCCCGCAGGTGACATCATAGTGTTGGGAGGACTGGTCATTTATAGATGCAAAAAATTTTCTTCCGCAAAGGCTGGAGGTAAACCAGTTAAAAGCAATGCCACAGGGGCTAACATGGTCCGTTAATCTGTCTAAATCCATCTAAAAGAATCTGGTAATCCACAGTATCAAAAGCAGCATTCAGGTCAAGTAGCAACAGAACTGTAGGCTTGTCTCTGTCATTGTATGCTAATTTTAACAGGGCTGTCTCTGTGCTGTGGTGCCCAAAACCTGATTGAAACATTTCTGATTTAGTATTTCAGTTAAAAAAAAAAAAAAAATTATTGCTAAAATAGGAGATTTGAAATTGGTCTAAAATTCCTCATGTATGCCAACCCTTAAACACAAAGCTGGCAGCTTAAGAAAGAACATAAGTATATTAATTATAAAACAGTAACGCACAATATAAATCTTAAAAGTACTGAAATTTGTATGGGCTTGTTACTTGTTACTTTGTCTAATATTTTCAAGCAAGCAAAAGGCAGATTGAACTTTTGATGTCTGAATTATGACCATTCGGAACGCTGTTCTCCCGTTTTTATATAGACTTGCTATTTTGATTTGTCTTATTGTTCTATAGCATGAACCTCAGGTCAAATCCATCATTCATTCTGATTCCCCTCACTGAAAGCCTCCCTGGTCCATATTTGAACTTGTATCAGGTTGTTACTGTGCAGTGTAGTGTTTTTAGAAGCACAATATAAATAATGTACCTTACTTTTTTATTTTTGAGCCCTATAGAATATTATCTAATGCTGACCTTACAGTGTGTCAATACATTCAGTGCAGGTTTTTGTATGTTTCCTCCTGCAGTCCAAAAGCATGAGTTTTAGCCCGCTGGTGTCCCTAAATTGCCCTTAGTCCGTGATTGTGTGTCTTGAGCATGTGCCCTGTGATGGGTTGGCGTTCAATCCAGCATGTCTTCTGCCTTGTGCTTCTGCGATAAGTGTCATGCCCCCTGCAACCCTACACCAAATATAGAAAACAGGTTATTGGGTGATCAGGTTAGATCAAGGCTGATTATTTGGTCAAACTGCTAACCCTTTTTTATATTAATTTAATTATGGAATTAACTGAAGTTTGCGTCTTTGCCATATGCAGCAAAGAAATGAGAAAGTCCACTTCGTCATCCATCAGTCTCTATTTAAACTTCTGTATTATGTGAAAAATTAGTAAAATTGTTGGAAAATGGGCAAATGGGTTTTTCAGTCTTTTTATAAAAACAAATGTTTTAAATTTCTTAGACGTCAACACAGATTCTATGACGACCCCATTCCCTGACCCCCCGAAGCCACTGGTGGTGCCCAGCCTTGAGGACAATGTGAAGTACAGCCAGAGTACCCAACCTACCTCTAAGTTCAACATCCCCTGCAAGCCCAGCATCCCAGAGAGCACTTGTGAACCCCGTTACCAAGGTATGACCCTTTCCTTACTTGGACAGACTGAGTAAAGTGTGCGCTTTGGCATATTGCATTTATAGTGAAACTATGTGGGCGGGGCCTTTATAAAGTATCCACCCCTTAATCTCCACCTACTAGTAATTTAACTTTCCTATGGTTTTTCAATTTTGCACATCTGTCATAACCTTTGATTTCATGTTTAATGTATGATCTTGAGTAGAAGTAACTCATCTCCAAGTCTGACCCTTCAGCTGTGAGATATAACTGCTACAAGAGAAAGTCAGTAATTTGTCGCCATTTGTTTGTTCATGTCTCAGCCGTCTCCCAGCCCTTCAGCCCACTTGTGGCACAGGGCCTTGTTGCGCAGTGGGTGCAGGCACGGCGAGAGGAGATCATACGGCAGATGACAGAGGCGTGCCTGAATCAGAGCCTCGATGCTCTGTTGGCACGTGACCTGCTGATGCGAGAGGACTACGAGCTGATCTCCAACAAGCCCACACGTACTGCCAAGGTGCGCCAACTCTTGGACACCAGCGACCGGCAGAGTGAGGAATTCTGCCGTGTGGTTGTGCAGAAACTTCAGGAGAACCGGCAGGCCGGCTTGCAGCCCTTTCCTGAGATGTCCTCAGCCAGCCCCACCCCAAGTGCTCCCCTTCTGACATCCAGCTTAAACACACACAACATATTTTAAACCTCACCACAAGACTCAGTGGTTGTCATATTGAAGGATGGCTTTTTGACTTCCCATCCATACCAGCAGCCCTGGACTCAGTATTTAAGCTCTGGGACCATATTTGCCTCACCTTGATGATCATCCACGCCCTTCCCAAAGACTAAGAGCAATGCTACAGTCTATAAATGTGTTCCTTTTAAATGGGTTCCTATCCACTGAGGTTGTTTTAGACATTAGCAGTTCAACATGACCAAGCTTAGAGATCCAGTTGCTTTATTTCATTGCCTTTTCCTCGGATGTAGTGCACCTTGCAGCAAAAGAACATCCTAATCTATGCTCCCCGTACAGCCGTACTTCTCATAAACTGAAAACTGGAAAGGTTCGTCGCATTATATGCGCTGCTGAACAATACCGCCAACCTACTGTTTGTCAGAAATAAGCATGATTGACTTATGAGATGTAGAGTATTGTTGCAGTTCAACGTTCTGCAGCATCGCTGTGGCAAATCATCAGCATTTGATCAACACTGTGGTCTGACACCATCCCTTCTGTATATGTGCCTGTGTGTCTGTCTGTATGTTCTGCATGTTCTGCGTTACTGTGCAGGTTCCTCCCACAGTCTGAAAACATGTTGTTTGGGTGAATTGGCATCTCTGTATTGCCCATTTTGTGATAGTGGACTTATGAATGTCCTTGCCATTCTGCCCGGGGTATCCCCTGTCTTGTTCTCTGTGCTTCAGGGTGAGCCTATACTGAATGATTGGTATCGAAAATTGTTGGAGGGATATCTACATGGCTCATTAAGTTTTTGCAGTTCGTGTCTATGCCATATGCAATTTACCACATGCAGAATTTCTTGTGGGTGAATCAACTGCTCAGTACACAATCTTAGAGGTCTTCAGTCTTCGGAAAGTTCTTTTGACTGTCCCCTTATGTAACTTTCCTGTTTGCGTAATAGTAAAGTTTCACACATGGCTTACATTATGTCAATATCTTAGAAGTTGAACATCTTTTATTTCTGACAAAATGAACGTTGGTCATTTGACAATGAAGAATTTTGATTGTGAGGGAAGTGCGGTGTTTCACAGAAAACACTTTTAGTTTTGGTTGTATGTGGGTGGGGCGGGGGGGTCGATTTAAAACGTTTTATTCTTCATATCACTAGCAAAATTATATATATATATTTTTTTTTTCTTCTTAATTATATTTGAAAGCCTTAGGTAAACTTGTAGGTTGGGTTTTATTATCTGACTGTTTTGTAATGTTTATTGTAACTGAAAGGGAGAGTAAGACCTTTGAATGCCTTTCTGCATGTGGATTTTCCTGCTTCTTTGCCTTGAGTTTTAACGGAGAGCTGTATCCATCTGTTTATTTTTGCCTGGCTGTGAAAGTGTGTACTTTTTACTGAAGTTAGTTTTCTGAAACCTCATGTTTAATAATTGTTTAGCAGGCAGGTGTCACATTGTGTAACACTGAGTTTTACAGCTGGTTTCGATTGGTTGTGATTTCAACTTCCAGTTCAGTATAAGTAGTGTTGGCGTGTTCTTCCAAAACAAGCATTTAGACCAATTAATGTCTCTAAAGTGTGTCTGTGTCTGTGTATGTATGTGTGTGTGTGTGTGTGTGTGTGTGTCTGTGTGTGTGTGTTTATTTGCACATGCGTCCACCCTGTGATGGATTAGCATCCTGTCAAGATTGTCCTGTGCTTCTGAGCTTGCTGTGAACTTCTACTGGATAAGCAGTATGGATGGATGGGTGGATTGATGGATGGTAAAACAGTGTTGACCCAGTCCATGTTAGCAATTGAAATGCTTGGTGAGCCTTATACACTTTTGCTAACAGAGGAAGTTTAGGACAAACAGTCACTGTGTGAGAGACTTCACATTGTCCCATGATGCAGTAAGCTAATGAGTAACACAGTTTGTGATTAAGGTATATAGCTCACTGTACATTCCACTGGCGTTACAAAACCTATTTCAAATGCTTCCTGGCAGTAGTGGATTAATTCACTGTGCAGTGGATTAATTCACTGAATACAAGTAATGGGCTGTTAATGATACTTGGTGATGGATATTTTCACTCAGCTGAGTGTTCACTGCCTTACTTGGTGCTACTCTGAAGTTTTTGTCAGTAGATTCTGTGCATGCTGGGGTTAATTCTGAATTATGATTGTTATGAAGACACAGTATTTGTGAACAATTGTAAGAACATGAACTGTTTTTTTTTTTTCCCTTCTCTTTGTGATGTTTGTTCACTGTACAGCTGACCTATTCATTTTACCTTTAATAATATCCTTTCCTTTATGAGAAAATGAGATGTTACAAACAAATCGCTGACAAATTAATGGTTTTATATTGTATTATATTGAAGTCTCAAATGTGTGGTGGCTCAAACGTATAGAATATCTAGGCTTTGCAAATGGCTTTACACTTCCAAAGAGAGCAGAACAAAATATGACCCTAAGTTGTTTTCAGCAGGGTGGGAGTCGGAGAAGTCTAATGACTAGTACAGCACTGAAACTGTACTTTTTCTGAAACTGTGGCAAAACGATTTCTCTGTGCAAGTCCCTCTCTCCCATGTTTATTTTAGCATATGTGTATGCAGTCTAAAGAACTAAGATTAGCTTAATGGTGTTGGAGGATTTCTTTCGTGTGCAGGGCTTATATATTATCTTCCTTCGCTGAGGGCTTAAAACCCAATATGTGGTCACATAATAGCAGACATCTGGATCCTTTAACCTTGTTAATTACTGTCTCTTTTTGTGCAGTAAACAGTAGTTAATAATTCCAGATGTCATAGAGTAAGAACAAATGCTTTTTTCTCCTTTTCCTCCTCATCCTTCTTTCCCACTTGAATCAATGTGCCAATTTGCAGCTCTGGCTAAACCAGAGAATACCTTCTAGATGATTTTGTGATGTCTGCTGCTTTGCACTACTGACATTGCCATTTTTCCAAATAGCTGGTTTGCATTACCTGTGCTTTTTAATCTTACTCTCTGGGTTCTCGTTGCATTTAGTTTTTCACATCTTAAGAATGACTAAAGGGGAAAAAAATTATAATAATAATGTAGCCAATACCATGGACCAAACAGAATACCCCGTGTCAATGTGATTTTCAGTTTTATATCCTCATGTTCCGACAGATTTGAAATGTGACTTGTTCATTCACTGTCCTCTGTAGCTACATTTTGAAACTTTATCACAGTAATGTAGACATGGGCCTGCATTGAATGGATAGGTTGCTAAATAAAATAAACATTTTGTTTACATGTACCTCGTTGAATATTTTTGAAGTTTTCTGATCATGCTATCGATCTGCTACCCTGTATGACTTCTGAGCCTATCGAAATTCTGATCACGCGTTTACCATTCAAATGTTCAAATCATTCAATATCGTTCAAATCAAATGTTTTTTTTCCTCAAATAAGTGATAGGTATTCTGAAGTTGTCAACATAGTTGAATTAAGGTTGGCTATTGGAAAGCCATCTTTTCAGGTTTAGTTCACACACTTCCTGTATTTTCTGTTTACAAAGTAAACTATAATTTTGTTTGGGTCTGACCGATGATACTTTCAGGAATGGATCCTTAAACTGGTTTGTATTTATGAACCCTGTCCGTGTTTAGGTGTACTCTAATCTAATAGGCCTGTTTCAGCTGGTACTGACGACAAAGCAATGGAAGGCTGTCCTCTTAAGCCAATTTTGGCATCTTTCCTGGAATAGAGGTTCTCGCTTCTGAGTGGCCAGTGCCAAAAATAGAGATGTTAGTAGATGAGAGAGGGGACACTTGTATCTCCTTTCAGAGGCATTGCAACACTGTTTACACTTCCCAAGCTTTACCTGTTTCTCTGTTCTAGAAAGTTTGAGAATGTCTTACCTCTTATCAGGGATTAGCCTCACATCTACTGTCTTGCAAATTTGGATATTTTACTGGGTAAGTAGAATTGCCTTTTCAGTATTTCAATGGACAATATATTAAGCAACAGTTTTGTTTTACTGTAGGGATTTGATCCAGTAGTTTTTTTTCCTGATAAATGACTCTGGTAAATGTATAAATATTGGTGTCTTAAAAAGCTCGCATGACCTCAAGTCGCAGGTAGTCATACACTTTTTCTTGTGTTCCCTGCCAAGCTGACCTTTAACCTTAATCTGTTTGCCTCCTTGACCCTGCTCTCTCTTCAGCTGTAATCAGGGGTTCTTCCCTCATGTCCCTACATTTGGAAGTAGGCAGAAGGTGGTCGCCATGAAAGCCTGGCCCCAGGATGTGTGCGGCGGGTCTCAGACCCAATCTGAGTCGTCCCTGAACCTGAAAGCCCCATCTGGCACAGGGGTCAAGATGCAGATGAAAAAGGAGATTTCCCTGGTAAACGGTGTTTGCCTCATTGTGGGCAACATGATTGGCTCGGGCATTTTTGTGTCTCCCAAAGGGGTGCTGATGTTCAGTACCTCTTATGGCCTGGCACTGCTCATATGGGCGCTAGGGGGCATATTCTCCATGTTCGGGGCACTTTGCTATGCTGAGCTGGGCACCACCATCATCAAGTCAGGCGCAAGTTACGCCTACATCCTGGAGTCTTTTGGCGGGTTTCTGGCCTTCATCCGTCTGTGGACATCCATCCTTCTCATCGAGCCGGCCAGCCAGGCTGTCATTGCCCTCACCTTTGCCAATTACCTGGTTGAAGGTCTCTACCCCACCTGCCAGCCCCCCTACGACGCTGTAAGGCTCATCGCAGCTGCCTGCATCTGTAAGCATCGATTTTCATAAATGTGGCTGGACACGCATACCCACACATGCCGGTCAGACGTGTATATAAGGCTAGTTTGACAGCCAAGTCGCCTGTCTAACAGCATGCTTTTCCATGTTCTGCATGAAACCATTGGCTGAACTTAAACAACAGGAGGACCGTTGTAAAAATATGGCCTAATTTGTTCCTCAAGTGGATATGGCTGAATTTAAAAAGGAGTGGTATACTGCCAGACCTGATAAAAACAAAGAGAGCTTGCTGTGCTAGTCTGTGATGAGACTGGGGCAGAGTCAGTGTTCAGAATGACTAGCTGTTTTCATGTGTGTAAGTATATGCATGTCAAAGCCCCCCGGAAAATTCCCCCTGCGTACGAGTTGTGGGCTCCACCCAGCGGATATGGCATCACTTGGGATTATGGCAAGCAACCCTTTGTTTAATGCCACCTTCCTCTGACTAAAAGTGGAATGAAGAAGTAACAGCTTGTGGCTGGGGGCAGCACCCAACTTAGCTGACCATAATGTGCCTTTTAAACGTCGAAAGAAATCCCCTTTTACAGTAATTCTTGCTTATCATGAATATGGTTTTTGCACTTGTCTGTGATTGACGAGCTCTATTAAGTTCCTGCTATGTTTGTAGCATAATTCATAGTTCTTGTACTGGTGCTGGCATGTTCTTCTTAATGGTCATTCACTGGAAGCTCAGCCTAGCTGCATGTGTGTAATGTGCTATCTGCCTCACTTCTGCATCATTTCGGACAAAATTCATCTGCTAAATAAATGCAGTGTAATGTAATTCCCCATCTTAAATGTATATAATTTAAATATTACATTAGTGGTAATAACAAATAAATAAATAGTAAATCACCTTACATTTCAGGGTGCATATATATATATATATATATAATATAATACACACACACATATACACTGAGTACTGTAAATTAGTGCTGCGTCATGCTAGCTTGAAGTGTAGCATTAGCAAATGCTGCGGTTCTGCTTTGAGTGGCCCTGTAGCCTCACGGATTGCGACAGGAAGCAGAGGCTGGAATCAGACACAGGAAACAGCAGCTGCTTGCTCACCCAGCTCTCGGTCTCTGGCTGGCTACGGCATTCCCTAGCTGCTTTTCCTCACAGGAGCACAGACTGTCCTTCCAGGGTTGGGACAGACGTTCACGCTTCAGCCCGCTTTGTAAAAAGACTGTTAGTCTGTTAGTGTTGGGCATGGGGCTCTAATCCAGAGCTCTGTCACTGGTAGCATGGCACACTTTTATAATTATTAATATTTAGGAACAAAATAAAACCATCATGTTGCCCTTTTCTTAGAAGGTGCTACTGTGAGGACCCCCGTCCAGAAGTGTTCCTCCATGTTGATGACTTTTCTTAAATGATATCATGCTGTATTACGTTTAACGTGAATCATCTGTTTTGTCTCTAACAGTCATGCTGTCGGGGCTGTTCTGCATTGCACAGTATAACTGCTTGTTACAGTGCTACATACGTATGTCACGTTTTTCTTATTGACGTGGATGTTTTTTTAGGTGAAATGCTCTACTCAAGGGTACAACAGCATGGTTTTTCTGTAGGTTTAAATCTTCTAGACCAGGGTTATTCAAATCACGGTCCTCGAGGTCCGAGCTCTGCTGGTTTTCCAGCCTTCCTTTACCCGTCAGTCAGGTGTGAAGCCTCTGACCAATCAGAATCAGTCATTATTAAACTAACTACCTGGGAGAACTGAAAACAAGGCCTGGATTTGGAATCGAGGTCTAGATTTGAAGAACCCTGCTCTAGACGAATGGCTCTGTCAACACTGCTTGAACATTTACATTTTGCTCGTTTTATACCTTTTACCTGAAGAAGTATACTTCCCTTACTCCCAGTTTCAAATCCCAAACAGGTGCCATAGACCAGCTTGATGACTGCAGTCACTTATGTATAAGCAAAATGTGTATCTCATTGAATGGTTATTTTGCTCAATAGAGATTGTTGCTTTAATTGTATTAGTACAACTCCTTCAAATTTCATATAAACCATAGTGCATTCTGCTGTGGAATTGGGTCATTTCTCTATGTATTCCTGGAGACTCAATGATTTCTTTGTGGAATTTGCTTCCATCTTCCTCTGCTTGACACTTGGCATTGCCATATTTTCTCCAGCTTAGGAGATGGATGCACACAAAGCCTTCGCAGCAGTAAATAAAACAGCAATTAAAATGCTGGCTGTATGGTTGCCATTGGCCCCAAAGTGATTTGATTTGATTGCAATTAATTAGGGGAATAATTCAATCTTTAAGTTATGTAACCATTCAATTATTTTATAGCCTAAATTGCCGCTAACTTGGAATGCTGATAATTTTTAAATATTAACTAAGAGTGATGTATTGGACCTTGATTTTTAACAAATATTGGCTGATTCTGATTTGTTAACCTTATAGATGCACAATATAACGGTTAACATTGGTTTTTACTTAGACCGCTAGTTAGCTACCTCAGTCTTGACTATTGCTAGCATAGCTAGCAAAAAGAACAGTTTTTTGGTCTACAAAACAGAGATATTTCCCATAATACCTTAACCATTAGGGAGAGCATTCTGTGCTTGGAACAGGGTCGAGTTTCCCCAAGGAATCCCCCTGCAAAGATTTTCAGGTAGTACTTCCTATAAGTAATGTAAGCTTGATACTGCACATTTTCCATTTTATTTTTCTTATTTCTCTTTTTTTTAATTTATGTTTTATAGCATTTTGATGGGAAGTGCGCGGGGGTTTTTGTTGTACATGTACAAAAACAATAATTCTATTCCATTCTATTCTATGAATATTAATTAACCTTCCCCTGTCATCCTACGTCTCAGAAATTTGCATGCTAGGGCTGCTACGTTGTGCATCTACCTGTCCCGAAGTAGGGGTATCTTTATTTTGCCCCCAAAAATCGACTCTGATGTTAGAGACCGATGCATCTCTACACCCTTAGCTGGCTGCCATATGATGTCTTGTCCTGCTCTATCAGGTATGCTGGTCTTCATTAACTGTGCCTGTGTGAAATGGGGCACCAGGGTTCAGGACCTCTTCACCTACACCAAGCTCATCTCCCTTTTTGTCATAATTGCTGTGGGCATCCTGAAGATAGTGCAAGGTGAGGGGGACACGTGTCTGGGGACTTGAAGGTTTTTTTTGTGTGTATATACAGTACTGTGCAAAAAGCAAAAGAAATGCTGAAAGCTGATTATCTTGATAATAAGTGTGTATTTGCTCAGAACAAAAACACATTTTGACATGAGAATATATGCACATTAAGAGTGACACAATATAAACAGACAGGGATTTCGTCTGTTTACCAAAAAGTCACTGAGATCTAGTTGGACGGCTAGATGAACACCGCTTCAGTTCCCAAACCTCTCCTCAGAGGGCTAAGCTAACATACTTTTACAGACGTTGGTTTTACACCAACTATCATTTAAACATCATTTTCTTTGACTGCCTAAAACTTTCGCACAATAATGTACAAGTATGTTTCTTCGTTGAAATATGTATGGGGTTCCAGCTGACACATAAGTCGATAACAGAGATCTGTTCTATAATGGACTCAAATCATCACTTTCCTTTCTCTCAATTTGAGGTCAGACACAGAATTTCAACAAGCCATTTGAAGGTGCTTCCACAGATCCCGGAAGCATCGCTCTGGCCCTGTACTCCGCCCTCTTCTCTTACTCTGGTTGGGACACCCTCAATTTTGTCACAGAAGAAATTCAGAACCCAGAGAGGTACCAGCCATAATCAGAGTTCACCCCTTATTAGTCTGACAAAAATGCTGCAGATCTCCAAGGTTACCTTGTATCATAGCAGTGATTTTGTAAGTGATTTTAATCGGATTACATAATTGAATACATTGTATCATCATGTTATTTAATTCTAGAATGTGAATTTACTGTTAAAAAAATAAGACTTTTGACTACAGTACAGTGGTCTTTATAATGATAAATGTGTGAAGTGTTTATAAAGGTTCATTAACCATTAGTTTTTATAGGAATCCATGCTCTCTAGCCTCTGACTTCTCTCACATCTTCTACCTAGGAACCTGCCTCTGGCCATTGCCATATCTATGCCTATAGTCACTATCATCTATCTGCTGACCAACGTGGCATACTATGCAGTGCTCGATATGTCTTCGTTGCTGGCCAGTGATGCAGTTGCAGTGGTAATATTCAGTAACATTCGCCCCACAGCACAAATTTTTCTGCACCAGTACAGGTTGAGCCTTTGCCTCATGTGAAGTCCCTAATTTCTAAATAGAAGTCATCATTTATTTAAATAAAACAGTTAATTAGATAGGTAGAAATTAATTTAATTAATTTACGGGAAAAAGACAATGGAAAATGTTGGAGTACACCCATATTGCTTCAGTTAATTTGACATTTTCTGAATGCGGATCTCCATATTGCGCTTGTTTTGTGTTGATGTTTTTGTGGATATGACCCTCAGACTTTTGGGAACGAGGTGCTTGGACCGTTGAAGTGGACCATCCCCATCTCCGTGGCGATGTCCTGCTATGGTGGGCTGAACGCCTCCGTCATTGCAGCCTCCAGGTAAAGGGGCAATGTAGGAAAATGGTGGGTGTGACACATGAGTACCCTGTCATGTCAAGAGGGGGGGAGAACGGAAGGGAAGCCTGGGACGCTGTGGCATCACCAGGAGAAGCATGACTCTGTAAGCTTCATTAATTACAGGGGAGGGGAAAATAAACAAAAAAAAATATGATTGCCCATCTTCTATCCATTTATCCTGGTTGGAGTGCAGCCCAAATGTACTATGAGCCAATTAGAGACATCCTTACCATGGTAAACTGATTGAAGATTGATATGAAATATGAATAGAATATGAATATGAAAAACAATAAAAATAGAATATGAAAAACATCGTGATTCTTCCTAATACTTAGATCACAGTGTGATCATGTAAATGCTGTTGTAGGGTCAGATGCAGTTCTATTGAGAATTGATTTGTACTCCTGGGGGCCTGTGGCTGAATGGGCGGCAGAGGGGGCCCACACCTCCATGGATGAGACCCTGACTCGAACCCTGGCTTAGTGGAACTGGGTGTTTTCTCCCTGTCTTTGCCTATGTTGCCTGCTGCAGTCCAAAGACATGCAGTTTAAGTAAACCGTTGTCTTTTAATCACCCAGAGTAGTGGTATTCAAAATCTTTTTGAAGGGCCCCCCTAGGGCTGCTATCTTTGTCTTGATTTCGCCCCCCCCCACACACACAAACACACAAACACACACACTAGCCTTGTACTAGCCATTTGTTGGCATCGTGTAATGTGTATAGGCAAATGATGCTCAGATCATTACTGGTGTTTGTAATGGTTGCAATGTCAAGATAGGTCTGCCCCCACCTCAACCCCCCTAACACACGCACGCACACACACACACACACACACAATTACTTTTATCCCCTCACCTGTACCCTTTCCGCTGTAATTCTTTCACATCCCACAGTTTGAATCACCAGAGTGTGTGATTGTGACTGTGTTTGCTGCAAGGCCCTTAATCGGCGGTACAGAACAGGACCCTGTTTGTTGCCTTAATTATACATTTTTGTTAAAGAAACTGTGGATATGCTTTGAATTTTGTGGTGTCTGAAATTGATTCATAAAGATAGTTATTAGGGAGAATTATGTGTCTGTCTTTTTTGGTAATTTGAAGTATTATTAGAAAACAAAATAAAATGCACTACATTGCAGAGTTTAATTTATAAGTGAATATGAATCACAACTTTTGATACATATATGTAAATCCATATACACTCAGTGGTCGTTTTATTAAGTAGATATAGTTAGTACTGGGAAGGACCCACTTTTGCTGATTAAACTGCCTCAAGGTTAGACGTGCATCCAGAGAAGCCATATGGCACACCATTGTACTGGGTGTTATTCGTGCATTTGTGGCCTGAATTTCACCGTTCACCCACAGACAGTGTACAGTGTAATACTGTACACTGGATTTTTATGGATCACATCATTCTCTGTAAATCCTAGACACTCTAGTGCACGAAAATCCAAAATGGCAACCCTGCAATTGCCACACATGCCACCAAGCACCACACCACATTCAAAGATCAGGCATCTTAACCATCCTAAAGCTCAGCCAATCAGTAACTGAACCTTTTGACCCTGTCTACATGCTATCTGTATTCAGTTGCAGTCACTTGATGCAGTGGTTAGGGAAGCAGGTTGTTGGCATTAGCAAGTAAGTGTACCTAATAAACTGACCACAGAGTGTGTATTTTGTTAAAATTCCATTAAAGTGATTTAATTTTGAGGTAATCGAGAATGAGGGCTATAGGTCTTGGACAAACCCCCATCGGTGGCTCTGTGCTGCTGAGTGGCTGACTGAGGGGTCTGTTTTACAGGCTTTTCTTTGTGGGTGCCAGAGAGGGCCATCTGCCTCGTAGTCTCAGCCTTATCCACGTCGAGCGCTTTACCCCTGTGCCGGCCCTCATCTTCAATGTGAGTGCACACCTGGAAGTGGGTTTTCAGCAAAACTGAATACACATATTGCATAAAACTCAGGGACACACATAAATGGTACTCACATTCGCTTTATATGCTAATTCATACTTAATCTGCAGTATAAAGGTTAAAATGCACAGTATTTTCTTGTCCTAGCAGCACAAATGCACATAAAATAAGTATGCATTTGTGCTGTTACAGAAATCGATTGCTGCACATATCACATTTAAAGGTGCCAGTTATGTGCATCCTTGATAATACTAACATGTTGGTAGATTTTAATCTATTTATTTTTGGGTGGTACATGGAACAGTGGGCAGCATTGTCACCCACCCCCAAGGCTGTTGTGTGTGTGTGCAGAGTTTGCATGTTCTCTCCAGCCTCTCTGTGTCTGGGTTTTAGCCCGGTACTCCAAAGACACACAGCTGGGTGATCAGCATCTCTTAGGGTGTGTGTGTGTTTTTGTAATTATTACATTGTGGGGACCTGTAACTTTTTACCTTGTAAGGACATTTTTTTAGGTCCCCGGAATCAGAATCAGCTTTATTGGCTAAGTGTGTTTACGCATACAAGAAATTTGTCCACGGTTTTTAGTCGCTCTCAGTATAATTCTGATTCTGATTTTTGTGTGTGTGTGTGTGTGAGCGGGTTTACCTATCCTTATGGGGACATAATGTCCCCATAACGTGATAAATATCCGTTTTTTTCCCCTAATGGGGACCGGTTTCCTGGTCCCCGTAAGGGAAAACTCTATTTTATAAAAATCGGTGAATGCTATGAAAAAACTAAAAATGCAAAAACTCTTGTATTTTGTTAGGTTACTTATGGTTATGGTTAGGGCAGGGTAGGGGTTAAGGTTGTCATAGTTAGCGTTAGCATTTTTCCCATTGAAATGAATGAGCGGTCCCCATAAGGATATGTTTACCCTACGTGTGTGTGTGTGTGTGTGTGTGTAATAGAGCAATAGATATCCTGTCTTGCTAGCATCCCAGCTAGCAAGTAGAGTGAGAAGATCGAAGTAGCTAGCTGGTTAGCACAACATGCTGCTTCAGCATCTTCTAAATAAGGAACGTGTTTATTTAATGTTTAGTGTAGTGACTTTCTGTGGTCAACAGGGCCCCACAAAAATATGCGACTTGAGTGATGGTAAACACTGACACTGTTTATTAGTCTATGAACTATGAACTAAGCTTTTCCACTAGCAGGAAGACGACTCCAAACCTCGGCTACCTATTTGTGTCTGGTAACGCTTTACATGACCTGCACCTTCATAATGTCTTTATAATGCATTTGTAGAATATTCACTGCACCTTCATAATGCTTTCATAGTGCTTTCATAGAACATTTAAGTATACCTTAACATCCTAACATTCCTTAGCATATTTAAAATACATTAATAACAAACATTATATAATGTTTGTTTTTATCATGTAATGTTTCTTATTAATGTATTTTACTCTGTTAAAGTATTTTAGGATACATTATACTTTCATGCGGCTTATGAATGCTTTATGAATGTGTAATGAATTACAGTCAATGTAAAGCATAACCTTGTACCCTGATTTTTATTTCATGTCCTATTACAATAAAATGTTATGTCTCTCAAAACAATCAGTATTTTTATGCTGTCAATATCATGCTCTGCCATAGGGAATAATGGGGCTGATCTTCCTCTGTGTGGAAGATGTCTTCCAGCTTATTAACTACTTCAGCTTCAGTTACTGGCTGTTTGTAGGCCTGTCCGTGGCTGGACAGATCTACCTGCGCATCACACAGCCCGACAGACACAGGCCTGTCAAGGTAACAGTGAGGTTTCCATGGGAACCTGCTGTCCTGAACATCATTCAGTCATTTCCTTCATTCGCTGTCTTTAGTCCTCTCAGTAACTCAAGCCTTTCCTTTGTGTCTGCAGCTGACTTTGCTGTTTCCCTACATCTACTGCCTGTGCAGTCTGTTTCTCATCATTGTCCCCCTCTACTGGGACACCATAAATTCCCTCATTGGTGTGGCCATCGCCCTGTCTGGAGTTCCCGTTTATTATTTTGGGATTTACCTCCCTGAAGACAGGCGCCCCAGCTTCCTCAATCAATTGAATGGTAAGGCCGGAGGGAATTTGTGACCACTAAGAATTGTGAAAATGATACTGGGGGGTTTACATGTCACTAGAATAGAACAACCACTATCATGTTTCTGATGGTGCTAGGTCTCTCTCTATTTATATTATGATTTAAGTCCTTTATGACACTTATTGTTACATCCTACTGTCTCCATTGTAGATTCCTCAAAATATAGATATTTTGTAATAGCATTGCAAGGAGACATTTTATAAATGAGAGGAGGCCATTTGGCCCATCAAGCTCGCTTGGGGAGAATTCAACTAATAGCTTAAAGTTGTTAAAATCTTATCTAGCTCTGATTTAAAGGAACCCAAGGTTTTAGCTTGCACTACACTAACAGGAAGACTATTCCATCCTCTATCTATATACTCGCTGGGTAGAGAAGTCAAAATCCAGTTTAAAATGTTCTCCTGCTAATTTCCACCAATTGCCAGAAGTTCATGTGCTTGAACTAATTTTGAAGTAACTATTTGGTTGAACAGCATCCAGATTTGTTAGAATCTTATAAACCTGGATCATGTCCCACGTTAGTCTCCTCCGTCCATCTTCGCAGGTGGATAGAATGATGTAACATTACTTTTTTATAATTGTAAAACTAAATGAAACAAAATCAAATAAACAAAAACCGGAATAATGGGAAGTAGGTGGTGAAAGTACCTCTGTGTTATCTGGCCCACTTGGTTTTGCATTACGGTACAATAGAGTCACATGATATATGCATTATGTCATCATTACTGTCAGTAACCAGTACTATAGTCTTAAATACCTGTCTTTTTAAGATCTAACTGGAGCTTTCTGTTTGACTGAGTGGGTTTTCACTATCTTTTGCTGTCTCTCTATCTATCTATCTCTCTGCCAGATGCCTTCACTCGATACAGCCAGATCCTGGGCTACTGCTGTCTGACAGAGTTGGACACGGAGCCTGAGACGATGTACGACAGCAAGGCCAAATGACATTAACGCCCCCCCTCAACGACAGCTTTGGCAACCTAATATGACAGGTTCTCACAAGGTGCTGCAGTGCCAGAACAAGAAAAAATGAAAGTGTGTGTTAGAGTGACTTTTGGTTCCATGAATTTTGAGTAGCAGTTGTTTAAGGTCTTTGTTTTAGTGATGGACACTAGAGGATATTCAGATATTATGGTTTAAATTCCATACCTCATTTCTTACCAATGAAAGGAGGAGGTGAATGAACACTCCAGTTTGTCCAAAAGCTATTCAAAGATATGTGCTAAGGCTTCTGTGACCTTTAGAGGGCAGCAGAGGCAGGCTAACTGCTGCAAATATGCAGTGATTACTTGTGTTATTACATCACCATACATTTATTTAGAACAGTTTTGTCCAACGCAATGAAAATAGGGTCAGCCAGTCCGTGGAGTAATTAGGGTAAAGGGCCTTGCTGGAGATTCCAATGGTGACATCACTCTGCCAGGGGATTTCCCAGTCACGGGGTATTCCTAACCCACAGGGCCAAACATCGCCCCTACATGCTGCTGTATTTTATTGAGGACTATCAACAAATATGGAGTATAAGCATAATTCCTAGTGCAAAATGAATACGAAATACCACATTTTGTTTCCAGATGGTGCGCGTTTTATGCTCACTTTAACATATGCATTGTGTTTGCTGGCCAAAGCAGTGAATCAATATGCATTTGAGATGGTGAAACACACTAGTGGGGAACAAATCTTTGCACACTGAATTAGAAACATTTGTTTATATGACAGTATTACTCAAAATGACTTGTGAGTGTATGAATGTAATAGCATTTCCGTGTTTTTGATGTATGTGATTACGAAGTTAAATATAATGAGTTTGCAGGTACATAATAACGAATGCAAAGATACGCCATTTTTAATGCAGAGGAAGCATATTACATTTAGTAGCAGCATTATAATTTTAAGGGCATAAAGCACAAAATCACGCAGACATGGCAATAGTTGCTGGTATGGAATATTTAAAATCACTGCAAAAGGGGATAAAAAAAACATGAAACAAAGATGGTGAAAGAAAACAAAAACTCTGGGTTTCCAAACTGACTATATTCCAATCTCCACTGGACACATGAACCTTAAAGTAAGAAATGTTTACTTGGGTAAGGATCCATTCTTGAAGTGGGCTGGTACTCGGACACATGATATGCAGTACCAACACCTCTTTGTTTTTCTGTTCAGAGAAACAGTACCTCTAAATATCTGCTGGTGCTGAATAACAAGGGGAGTAACGGCATCTGGTGGTGAATAACAAGGGGAGTACCGGCACCTGGTACTGAATAACAAGGGGAGTACCGGCATCTAGAAATGAATAACAAGGGGAGTACCGGCACCTGGTACTGAATAACAAGGGGAGTACCGGCACCTGGTACTGAATAACAAGGGGAGTACCGGCACCTGGTACTGAATAACAAGGGGAGTACCGGTACCTGGTACTGAATAACAAGGGGACTACCGGTACCTGGTACTGAATAACAAGGGGAGTACCGGCACCTAGAAGTGAATAACAAGGGGAGTACCGGCACCTGGTACTGAATAACAAGGGGAGTACCGGCACCTGGTACTGAATAACAAGGGGAGTACCGGCACCTGGTACTGAATAACAAGGGGAGTACCGGCACCTAGAAGTGAATAACAAGGGGAGTACCGGCACCTAGAACTGAATAACAAGGGGAGTACCGGCACCTAGAAGTGAATAACAAGGGGAGTACCGGCACCTAGAAGTGAATAACAAAGGGAGTACCGGCACCTAGAAGTGAATAACAAAGGGAGTACCAGCACCTAGAAGTTAATAACAAAGGGAGTACCGGCACCTAGAAGTGAATAACAAAGGGAGTACCGGCACCTAGAAGTTAATAACAAGGGGAGTATCGGTACCTGGTACTGAATAACAAGGGGAGTACCGGCACCTAGTACTGAACAACCATGGGAGTACCGGCATCTAGAAGTGAATAACAAGGGGAGTACCGGTACCTGGTACTGAATAACAAGGGGAGTACCAGCACCTAGTACTGAATAACAAGGGGAGTACTGGTACCTGGTACTGAATAACAAGGGGAGTACCGGCACCTAGAAATGAATAACAAGGGGAGTACCGGCACCTAGAAATGAATAACAAGGGGAGTACCGGCACCTGGTACTGAATGATGACAAGGGGAGTACCGGCACCTAGAAGTGAATGACAGGGGGAGTACTGGCACCTGGTACTGAATGATGCAAAGGGGAGTACTGGTATTTGGTACTGAATAATGATAAGGGGAGTACTGGCACTCTGTTCTGAACGATGACAAGGGGAGTACCGGCACCTGGTACTGAATGATGACAAGGGGAGTACTGGAATTTGGTCCTGAATAACTAGGGGAGTTAAAATTAGGGAAGCCTGCATTAGAAGCTTTAAACAGATCCAAATTAAAGCGTATTTTGATTCTGATAAACCTGTTTCTGATTCTGATTCTGATGTATGACTTGGTTGATATTCAGCTAATAAAACTGGGACTGCATTTCTTACAGGTGCCATATTCACATCTCATCCCCTGTGATCATGTTAAACGCAACAGTGTTTTTAATTGCACAGAAGTCCCATAACAACTGACTACACGAAGTTGGATCAGAGAGGCCATTCTTTCCAATCACTGTTCCTCATGTGTGCGTCAAAATCTCCCAGTAAGATCACAGAGACTATAGGGGTTACCCACTTACCCACTTTCTGCAAGAAGTCTCCAAGGTACTCTAAAAGTTTGCAACTTGCAGTTGTACATTCCTCAGTGTGGGGTTTGTGTGCTACAAGATGATCATGTATACATATGTGTTAAGTATGTGTTAAGGGGCATTATCTATCCATGTGCTGTACCCACTTGTTTGGGGTTGCAGGGGTTTGGAGTCTATCCCACAAGCTATGGGCACTGTGCCACTACACCACCCTGTGTTTTTAGTAAGTTAGCATTAAATGTTAATTTTAATGATGTCTACAAAAGGAAATACACCCAGCTCAGGCAAATGATTGTGCAGTTACCTTAATCTCAGAAGAAAACCAAATGTCATATGGAGGAGAAGAGGTACAGGGACAGGATTACAAACTTTTCTTTGTTTTGAAAACAAAGTTTCATCCATTCACCAATTAGGGTCTGTAACTTGGCAATAGGGCTGTATTTGTGTCCTGTGACATCCCATCCAGCCTAGTGCCCTGTGCAGCCTGGAATAGGCTTCAGGCAACAGCCCCGATAAGATGGACGGATGGTTATACATAAACTATTCAAACGACAACAATAGGAAACAGGTAAGACAAAACGGGGCTTCTCCATGAGTAGCATTTAAAATTTTACTTCCAGGTTTAAGAGTATCATCTTTTCACTATTTTCTCAATGCTTGGAGATAATTTCCCAATACTAAGTTTATCTATGTCTGGGCTGAAGTATGACTTAGTTTGATGCCTCAGTTTGATACCTGAAAACTGCGCCTAATTGATGACCTTATATTATATTCCACTGGGGTTGAGCACAAATATAGATATACTATAGAAAGATACAGAACCGTACTAATTTATCATTTCAGTCTGTCCCGGGTGTCCCAGCCTTGTGATAATATGTGAGCAAGTTGGGCAAATGTAAGGGGTTTCCGTAAATCAAGAGGTTGTAATATTTCTTTAGTTATCAGTCAGAACTACCCCTCTGTGCCTACATGGTCCTCTGCTCTTACAGGATGTTGTATAGATGGTGTTATTGCTTTGATTATGTGTCCAAGTTGGCATGTGTTCATAAATGTGTACATGTTTATGTACATATTCTTTCGACACAGATTAGTGGCTTCCTTTAAGATTAAAAGCTCTGCTAATAAAACATTAATATGGCTGTTTCATTTTACTCCTGAAGAATCACAGAAACACTAATGGTTGACTAAATGACATTTTTTGGAATGGCAGTCAGGGGTGCAGAAGATACAACAGTTAAATAGCATATAATAGCTATTAGTTTCTTATTTTCTGAGACTATTACATATGACCTGCCAGCTCATATTGTAATAAAACTTACAGAATACAATAATTTACAGTGAACATTTAATTTACAGTTAACATCTGTTTTGATGGTGAATGATCAGTATGTTACGTAAAATTCTTAGTCGGTTTAATACAATTCCTGGAAGGCAAATCGCATTCAAAGTCACTTCCGTCTTCATTTCACACCTGACCACCTGTGTCATAATAATAATAACAACACTTTATTGATCCCTCGTGGGGAGTTTCTCCTTTTTGCCTGCTCCGTGTTGCTCTTTTTGTCTACTCCATCTTGCCCTAAATGACACACACATACAGCAGTGGAAAAAATTGAGACCATATATAATATTTGCAAACTGCAGCCTGGTTCTTCTCTGTTTCTCATTAATGAAGGGCTTCTTCCTTCCTTTATGGGACTTCATTCCTGCTTCTAGGAGTCTGATATGAACTGTCCTAGCAGTGCACTTCACACAGTCTTCTCTGGCATTAGAAAGTCGCTTATGCCCTTTGCCTGGCTGGTTTCTGGTTGTTCCCAGTGTCTCCTGCTTCAATATATTCTTCTGTGCTGCTGTCTCAGAAACTTTGAACCTAAAAGCAGTCTGCTGCTCAGCGCAGCCGTCAGCAGAACCAGGATTTAAAAATGCAGATTTCTTTAAAAAATATAGAGTGATCTCTTAATTTTGTATATAGCTGAGATCAAGCTTTGCAGTGAAAGGCAGCCACCTGTAGCAGCGCCCATGGAGCTTGGGATTAAGGGCCTCGCTTAGGGGCCCACAGACATGGCTATTCTGCCAAGACCAGGCTCAACCTGGCAACCTTCCAATCACAGACATGGCTATTCTGCCAAGACCAGGCTCAAACTGGCAACCTTCCAATCATAGACATGGCTATTCAGCCAAGACCAGGCTCAAACTGGCAACCTTCCAATCACAGACAGAATGGCTTAGCTCTCTGAGCCACTCACTGCTTGTTTGTTTCATCTGCAGGAAGTGAATTGTGTTTTAATGCTGGGTAAAAATGCTAATTATTATTATTTTTACTTCTGGCATAATTTCATAAGGGCAACATTGTGCTCATCCGCACAATGACATCTCTCTCACAAGGATTTGTTGTGGCTGTAAGAGGTGATTCCCTTGCATGCCACTTGGTGGCATTGTTTACAAACCTCATTTGTAACTCCCACTCACTAAGCTTGTTTTATGGCTCTTAAATGGTTCAAATAAATAACATAACAAAATATATAGTAAAATAACATGGGGGCACAGTGGTGCAGTGGTTAGTACTGTTGCTTCCCATCTTTAGGAAATCCCACCATTTTTTTCTGTCCCCATAAGGGGAAATTCAATTTTATAAAAATCTGCCAGTGCAATCAAAAAACTAAAAATATCAAAAGTGAAGTATTTTGTTTGGCTACTTATGCTTAAGGTTAGGGCTGGGTAGGGCTTAAGGTTGTCATTGCCGTAATTAGGGTTTTTCCCATAGAAATGAATGAAGGTCCTCACAAATACGTGAATGCAAATGTGTGTGTGTGTGTGTGTGTGTGTGTAAGCATGCATCTGCATATGCCCACAGTCCTGCAGGTTACCTGTTCCCCTCTGTGGATCCCCTAAAATGCTGCCCTTCAAGAGAGACACAGCCTCCTGCCCTGCTGCTCTCCTGCTTGGATGGAAATCATGTCAGAGGTGGAGGAGTCCAAAGGTTTCTCAGATCCAATTAAAGGTTCTATGGCCCAGGGGCAGCTAAGCAGGCAGCAGAGATGTAGCTTAAGAAAGCTGGACGGTGGTAATCAGAGAAGCCGTATTGGACAATATTGAAAAGTGCAACAATCGCATTCCGTAAATCACCGGGGTTAT